AAAGATATAAAATTTAAATAAATCATTCAAAGCCATTGTATTAAGAAATTAAATTTAGAAGCTATACGTATAAGTATATATATACATATATATGTACCATATATGTACGCGTAATATAATATGTATTTTATTGTGCAATTAAATCAATGTGAAATATTCAACGCAACTATTAATTCTAACGATTTCATTCGAGTGGATTTAATATACATAGCAGAATAGTTTCATTCCAATTAATTTTACTCTTGAAAATGGATAATTTAATGTTTCTCGCGTGCGTGCGCGCACGTGTGTGTGTGGGCGCGCGCGTAAAGCTCACACAATTTGAGTAATAGAATTTAATATAACAGACATACATTAAGCACATAGCAAAAAGGAAACAATTTTATAACGATACAATCGCGGTTGTTCGTTTAGAAAATTCATCAAAGCGAGTCGCGTCCAAGGGACGCGAATCTTAATCGCGCGATCTCTCTCGTTGTGTGACGGGCTTAAGGGTACATTCACCCGTCGCAGATTCTCCTCCGTCCTCCAGCGGCCGAACAACAACCGCGTGCACGCGAATTCCGCGAGTTTTATTTAGAACATCGAATTATTCTAACGTGACGAGTGCGCCCGCGCGCCCACCGGGTGGGGTTTAAAAAAATAGAGCGATAGGAAAAGAGAGAGAGAAAGCGCGACATAGACACGTCGTAAATCCGATAGGGGAAGTTCGTAACAAATCGCGCATTCGTATATATTTTCGCCGTATATAAATTCAATGCGGGATGACAAAAAAAAAAAAAAAAAAAAAAAAAATGATAAAAGATTATCTTGTGTCTCTCGAATCTACCTTGGAAATTAAACTTTCCTCCTTCTAATTGTACGGCACGGGATATAATGACACGCGTAATTGCTTTATCGAACGAATCAGAGCGAGAACAAGAGAGTATGAGAATTTTTTAATTAAAATTTTGCACATTGGATAAAAAAATGCATACTTTCGGCCGATGCGCGCGCCAAGCGGGTGGATTTAAAATTACGAAAATTGCGGGAGGAGTGGGCGTGCGGTGTTCTTTGAACTATTACAAAGTAACGAGGCAGGGACGAGCGTCCTATCTCTTTTCGCGTTGGTAGGAAAGTAAAATCGTTGTTGCATCTGATAAAAGCCAGGCGGGTCGCGCACGCGCGGATACGCGTCTCCGATGCGTGAGTGTGTGTGTGTATCGGTGCATTAACACACACGTAAACAAGTTTGCTGCATTCCACGCGGACCGGCTGTACCTTGCTACACGTAATCACGCTCGAATAATTAATTAGCTTATTTTGTATTACTTAAACGGAGTTAAAAACAACGTTTCGCCGACTATATATGTAAACCGATCGCGAAGAAATTTTTCATTTCAAGCTTTTAATATTTATTTCTTTATTTATTTTCAAACGGAAACTGACGGCCCGCATATATTATATAATTCTGCACGGGATAATATCAGAGATAAAAGTATTGCGCAGTTTTTTTTATTTGAAAATTTATAATTAAATATTTTAACGGTCTTGTGTAATTTAATCAACTTTTCTTGTCAAGAAACATTCTTGATTTTGAAACTCGATTAACTATAGTTTCTCAGTAGCTTCATAATGAAAATAGTTTCGATGCAACGTTGATGTACTGAAATAAATTGATAATGTATATATACGACAGAGATACAAGAAAATTAATTTAACGTCACTTTTCATTAAGCTTATTTTTAAACGATTGAATCATTTTATTATTATTAAACATTTACGAAGAGGAAGATTTTATCTCTCCAATATATTTCTTTATTTTACAATATTCGCAGTTTAGTGATGTTATACATGTACATATATGTATATATACATATACATAGATATATATGTATACATATATATATATATATAAATATTCGCCGTAATTGGAATTTCTCATGACTTTATGCAAACTAATAGCGGTTACACGAAAATCAAGTTTCACGAAACGGATTCTCGCTGAGTTTGTGCCAACTTTCGGTTGGCAACACCGTGCAGTAAAAATAGAGAATGCAATGTAATCAACTTTGAATTGCAGAGTAAACAATTTCGATAAAATTTTAATTAAGAATCGAATCAATGGAATAATATTACGGAATATATAAAAGTATTACTGCAACGGATGCCGATTGCGATAATACGTATAGATATAATTATTGACTAATACAACAAGGTTCCGTTCCAATAATCAACTGTACCATGCGAACATTCTTTTCAGATTAGTATTTATAAATAAATAAAAATTTATAAATAAATAAAAATTTATTATAAATTCATTCATTATTAAAAAAAAAAAATATATATATATATATATATATAATTATAAAATATTTGAGTTATTTTGTTCGACATTTACAAGTATTGGAATGACAAATATTTAATTATAATAATACGATATTTAAAGAATTATTAAGACAATCGTTAAAGAATTCAATTTAGAATAATTAAATTCATTTAATGAATCATTAAGACATCCATTAAAAAACTGAATTTAGAATAATTAAATTATCATGACGTATAATTGCAGAATATTCGATTAGTTACACAATGCGAATTCACCTCATTTCAAATATAAGAATTCATGCGTATTTTTCAATTTATATTAGGAAAACTGTGTTGTAATCGTGAATATTTTTATAAAACCTTGCAATTGTTACGACTCAGAGACAATGTATGTATCGGATAATTATTCATAACATTATATAATATTATAATAATATACAATTATAATACATATATTGTAATTAATAATATTAAATTATAACAATATTAAATTACAATGGCATTGCAATTATTATTCATTAAATAATATTTCCATAAAATTATCCGCGGTATATATATACACATTGTCACTTGTAACCATTTTTCTTCCCGCGTTACAAAAGTAACCGAAAACCGGATTGCCAGCAGCTGTTGGACAAATATTTTGCTTCGATAGTCAAGATGAAGCAAAGTCCCCATCCCAACCAAGCTCATCAATCACGTCAATTACACACGACATGGTCGATTCGCGATAACACGCGTCTGCGCACGCGCGCTCGAAAGAAAATGAGAGAAAAATAAAATATATAAATGAAAAAGAAAATAGAGAAAGTGCATATGACGAAATAAATTTAAAAAAAAACAATTTGCAATATCGCTTTTGAAAATGGGACGAGGAAAAAGCGCTACAACGACGCCGAATAATTGCTCTTTATTACATTGTTCGACATAATTGTTGGTGAGAAAACGTTCAGATCCTTCTGAAGTAATTACGACGAACAAAAGGATCAAAAGTAGCAGCCGCAGTTATGTGTTTCTCTTTCTCTCTCTCTCTCTCATTTTACTATCTGAATATGGATTATATTCCATGCCGTTGTTAAAAAAAAAAAAAAAACGAGACTATTACGAGCAATTTCTAAACTCGCACGCGAACTCGAAGACAATGATGAAGGGGATACTCGCTATTGACGTTCATAATATTCCCATCAAAGAACAATTCACGTATCTCCCTCCCTCTCGACTCATTTTCTTTCTTATAAACAATATTTCTTTTCGTTATAAATCGATTTATCATCCCGTAAACTAAATGCATATATCGATCGTCTCGAGGGTCTTGCGGCAAGAAAATTTCGTTTGGCGAAATAAAGGGAAGAAAAATATATATAATAAAGAGAATTAAAGTAAATTTATACGATAAACGGAGTTGTTGGAGGAAATTAAGCGCATTTGTACGCGGAGCTAATCTACATATATATATGTATATATATATATATAGAGAGAGAGAGAAAAGTGAAAAGAGAAAACGACAAAGACGACGATTCCGAGGGCGGATACTGATTACAGTCGACTTTGACTGCCCCTTCCGAAATAATCGGCCTGCAAACAGTGAAAATGACGAGCGAAGGGGTGCGCTTAATTGACGATGTCTCAATGGAACAACAGAACAGGGTGGGGAGCGTGACGACCCCAAAAGCAACCCTAACAGCGGACCGAGCCCAGGGGGTTGTATCCTTTCAGACCTCGAAGTGGCTTTAAGGCCATACCAATATTTCACAAGTTTCGTTTGCCCGGCCTTTCCTCTTACTTATGCGCCCCAGGGCGTTCAACGTATTTCCGTATATTTGAATAATGCCTCTTTCGTGATTCGCGTGATTCGCGTTCGATTTAATCTCCTCGTGCATGAAAATAGTTACATCGATGCGCAATGTTGTGATTATATGATAATTTCGCATTAAGTCGGCCAAATATAATGAATATGTTTATAACGAACATGTTTATAATGAATATATTTTTCTAATTAAGGTGAATATAATAGAATTTTAATATCAATATAAATATATGTATTTATATACATGCATAAATTCCTTTATATATATGTATAATTTTATATATTATATAAGATTTAAATTGATATTAATAAAATTAATAACTTGGGAATACACGTATATTTTCTCTCTCTCCCTCTTTAAATAAAAAGTCGATATACCCGACCAAAATGGCGAGCGACGTTCTATTTATTAACTTTCCATAGAATTACTGCACATCAAAATAATATTGAACTAAAATAACATGAAGTATACAGGAAAATGATAAGGCCAAAGTATCATCCAACACATCCGTTATCGACGATGGTCGGCAAAGGAGAAATTGCCCGAGTAGTAAAGTTCACGCGCGTTATAACTTTGTATAAGGCATTGATAAGATTTAACGTGTATATATATATATATATATATATATATATATATATATATAATTTAGATAAAGAGTTTATTTTCAAAATCGCACCGATAATAAAAACGTGTTAGTCTATTTCTAAAACATATGACTTTAAAATACAGTTTGACAGACGTATCTTCAAAATGGCAATTAACGCGTAATAATAAATAAGTGACACACTCGAGATTAAGGTATATTTGCACCGTTTCGGCCATATATGTATTAATAGAAAAATCTATGTATATATATATATATATATCTTTGATTTATAAACTCACCTCTCCGTGCGTGTCCCTCCTTCCGTCCGGCGTGTTCTCAGGTAAGAAATAAAGCCGTAAAGACGCCAAAGGCTGATTCGGTCCACGACTGTCCATCCACAGCAGCTGAAGCTCCCCGATGCTGACGAGATCGGCATCGCTCCACAATTTCGTGAGGAAGAAACTGCCGAGACGAAGAACGCGGCCGTTACCTATCCTTACCGCTTTGTAAAATGTGTAAGGGCCATGGCTGAAGCAAGCACCGCCCAATAACTGAAAGCAGAAGTCAAAAGTGACTTGTCAAAATCTACATTCGAGAGTTCACGGTTTTCGAAAAAAAAAAAAAGAAAAAAGAAGAAAAATTACAAACGTATATATATATATATATATATATATATATATATTAGGGTGGTCGTTATATAGGTTTTTCAAAATTTTAATGTTGGATGGTCGTAAATCAGCTCTAAATGTAGAAAAAAAAATCTCTAATTTTTCAGATTTTTATTTTGAGTCCTGAGTCTCCCTGTTGGCATGTAATTTTATTAATAATTTTATTAATACCACAGTTCTGCAGCTGCTTCTGTCATCAATTTTTGTTGTAAGTAGTTTGAAATTTTAGTGAAAAAAAGTTGAAACTATTTGAAAATACCGAAAATATAGTATAAAATAATATAAAATAGTTAAATAATATAAATAGCGGAATAGCCCATATAATATTTATGTGACTATCTTTTATGAAAAATTAAATAATTTTGTTCGCTACTTTTGCAGCTGACTCCATCTAGAACTGAAGTAAATTAAGTATTTTTTCAAATTTTATAAAAATTAATATAAATAATATTTAAATAACATATAAATGAATAAATAAATGAACTGATATAAGAATATAACATAACACGTGTAAACAGGGAGACTCAAGGTTGAAAATAAAAATCTGAAAAAATTAGAGAATTATTTTTTCTACATTTGGAGCTGATTTATGACCATCCAACATAATGTTCAATTTAACGACCACCCTAATATATATATATATATATATATATATATATATATATGTATATATTATTATACGATGAGGAAAAAATTCATCATGCAAAATACGTTCCCTCTACATAATTTTCCGTGCAATGTTGCTTCTAATAATACGCTTGCGGCATGTACGCTATTTAATAGTTATTCTCGTATTATTATTAATATTATAATTAACATATATTAATACTTAATGAGAAATCCGTTGGAATATTACAGCGTATTACCCTGCGATATTAATCGGGTGATAAACAGGTGCACATTTATATTAAAATAGGATAGATTAACGTGGCAAAGAGCATATTTCTGCGCATCGATAATTTTAGCGATTTAATTAAAAATTATTCGATTAAAGATATATATGAGAAATTTGTTCATTCCTTTTTTTTTCGAAAACTCGGCGAAAACTCGTTCAAGTCGGCTTTTAAAATATCATCTCCCCCGGATACGACCACCGCGAGAAAGATTCGTGGCGCAGGCAGGGGATGATCCCGCAGAAAAGCGGAGGGTTACGCCTCCCTAGAGAGTATTTGCAGTGCGAGGCACAAAGCACATGCACATTCGCACATGTTACACATGCGCGTGCACGCACATACGCGGAATAAACGGGACGCGGAATCGGGAAGGAAATCCTTTTTGCATTAAAAACCTAGATTTTTTTTCGACTCGAACGCGATTAAAGATCGATAAAGCGTGACCAACTCGTGGCCGCAAAATAATTTAAGGCTAAACGCGCGCGTGTCAAAAATTGATCAATCGCGATCGGAATTAACAGGGTAAATCCGATAAAGAACAGTCTCGCTTGGATGAAAAGGACGCGATGTTTGATTTCTGCAATTTTCAAATAAAAGATTAAAAAAAAATTAATAAATAAGTTGAAAAAAAAAAAAGAACTCGCGTACAGTACATGTGACGTTGATTTTACATCGTAGTTTTCTCTCCTCGTTGCTCTAGAAAAACTATTTATTATTCAATGAGAAAAATGTTTATTATCCGGCTCCTGAAAAAAATTCCGCAAACGAAAGAGCAAACGAACCGTGCACGCGGCGAGTACAGTCCGTCGCAAAATTCTCGGCTGAATCTCTTTACGCGTTTATCAGATTTTAGCGATAGATTTGCGTGTGTCTTTTTTACGCTTATCGCCGCATCTTTTTTTCTATTAAAATTTAAACTCCCAATATACTGTTAATTTTAGTTCGAGATTAATTTTTCCTCTTACGGATGATTAAGTGCCAGGCAACATGCCAATTTTCTAAGATATTTAAATACCGAGGAATTCTCTCAAGTTTGCACAAATTAAAATGTCATTTGTCATTTTCTTTTTTTTTCTTTCTTCATAAATTTGTATTCGATCTATTTTTCGCGTGGTTAAGTACCCGTGGAAACGATAGATGAAGATATTATGCGTGTCTTTCGCGAGTACAGAGAACAGGATCGTCGTAATTGGAACACTCGATATCGAGCCGATGAAAGAGAGGAAAAACACACGATGAGAGAGGTCCGTTCACACATACATGCACACATACACATACTTATGACGCGGACTGTACGGGCGTCTGCTGCTTTGCAGCGGAAACTTGTCCATTACTCCCTTTGCTTTATTTATCCGGGCGAAATTTCAAATGGATCGGATTTGGACGTAAAAGAGACAGGCGCGCAAAGATCGATGCTCGAGAATATTCACGTAAAATGCTCAACATTTTTATTCAAGTCGATAAAATTTCTCTTTTGATTTATATTACACATTTTGATATTTATCGTTTTATATTAACATTGAAACGTGTCTCCGAAAAAGGAGGAAAGAAAAGAAAACAATGAGAGACAGAGCAATGCTGTATCGATTTCACGGAGAAAGATGATTCCGAAAGACTCGCCTCGAATAACAAGGTCCTTTAATTGCCGATGAAATGAATTCGATATTGGGTCATGTTGGTCGCACGCTTCGGGTCAGCCGGTCTCGAAACTCTGTTCGGGAATGGAGCGGGATGGGCGAATATATGCTTCGCTATGCAAAATTGTCGCTAAGTCGCTCATTACTGCGCAAATCGACGAGCGCGGAGCGAGCGACGTCGGCATCGCCTCGCGATATCAATCGAGCCCCGCGTTACATAATTGAATCAATAATGGTCATCGAAGCGGCCGGAATGAGCACCGCTGCCATAACTATTTCCAATGTTTTAAGAGTACAGTCGCGGCCAAGAGTTCGGCCGCGCGGGCGAAAGATCAGCCCGCCGATGGTATTTATAGCGGTTAATCTCGTTTCTTCGCCGCGAAACTTACTCGTCATTGATATCGCTATTACATCTCCACTCGGCGCTCTTTTATCTTTTATACGCATACATGTGTACGAGGACAAGTGCATGCAAACCGCGCGCATATGCATTTTTCCCCTCCCCTCCCCGTTCATGGAGGGAGGGAGGAATCGGTAAGAAAATTAAGCATTTTTGGTTTCTTTGTGAATAAACATTGGAATTTATTTGCAATTTTATTTGATAGAAAAAGATTAAAATAAAATAGTCAAAATTAAGACAGAGTAATAAAAAAAATTTAATTATGCCCCTCCCTGGAAAAAATCCTGCGGACGCCTATGATATTTCTTCCTCTATGCATCCAACGCTTGCGCGTATAAATATATACGCATATTTTATTTAATATAAAAATATTAAAATAATAGAATAATTAAAATATTGAATTTAAAAATTAAGAAACAATAATAATAAAACACAAAAACTTTTAATCATGCCCCTCCCTGGAAAAAATCCTGCGGACGCCTATGATATTTCTTCCTCTATGCATCCAACGCTTGCGCGTATAAATATATACGCATATTTTATGTAATATAAAAATATTAAAATAACAGAATAATTAAAAATTGAATTTAAACAATTAAGAAAGAATAATAATAAGAAACAAAAACATTTAATCATGCCCCTCCCTGGAAAAAATCCTGCGGACGCCCATGATATTTCCTCCTCTATGCATCCAACGCTTGTGCGTATAAATATATACGCATATTTTATTTATTATAAAAATATTAAAATAATAGAATAATTAAAAATTGAATTTAAAGATTAAGAAAGAATAATAATAAAACACAAAAACTTTTAATCATGCCCCTCCCTGGAAAAAATCCTGCGGACGCCCATGATATTTCCTCCTCTATGCATCCAACGCTTGTGCGTATAAATATATACGCATATTTTATTAAATATAAAAATATTAAAATAATAGAATAATTAAAATATTGAATTTAAAAATTAAGAAACAATAATAATAAAACACAAAAACTTTTAATCATGCCCCTCCCAGAAAAAAATCCTGCGGACGCCCATGATATCTCCTCTTCTACAATCCAATGCTTATGCATGTAAATATATACGCATATTTTATGTAATATAAAAATATTAAAATAACAGAATAATTAAAAAATTGAATTTAAAAATTAAGAAAGAATGATAATAAGAAACAAAAAAATTTAATCATGCCCCTCCCTGGAAAAAATCCTGCAGACGCCCATAATATCTCCTCTTCTACATCCAATGCTTATAATATAATGCGCATATAAATATATACGCATATTTTATGTAATATAAAAATATTAAAATAACAGAATAATTAAAAAATTGAATTTAAACAATTAAGAAAAAAATAATAATAAACAAAAACATTTAATCATGCCCCTCCCTGGAAAAAATCCTGTGGACGTCCATATTTCCTCCTCTACATCCAACACTTATGCATATAAATATATATACGTATATACGTGGAGGACAAATTTGCGGATTGATTTGAGTCTTTGTCGTTATTATTGTTTTCGTTATTTTTTTTACATATCGGGACCACGTACCAATTATGTGTGCATATTCTCTCTCGCGAGTCGCTAAATATTTCACCACGCATCAATGCACAATGCCACGTATGCATTATTCATCGTACGACGTTATATACGCGCGCTTTTCCTTTCGTAAAAACACTTCCATCATGGATAAATAAATATATCCATATAGCGAGAGAGGCCGCCAATTCTCTCTTCTCATTGTTCATCGCTTCTCGATGTGTTAGTGTTAGAAGAACGAGCGCGCAAAATACAAGCAAGCATATAAAGTGCATATTTAACACAGCGCATATTTTAAGTGCCACGACGTTGATGAGGATTATTTCTTTTTAAATGAAAGAAATGACGCACATACACATGCATTATACATGTATATAAAATAATCAAGTCGAATATTTAGATCGCATTA